TATATATATACACACACACACACACATATATATATGTCTATATTTAGCAGATGCTTAGGATTGTACTATATATATATATACATACACACACACACACACACACACACACACACACACACACAACAGATGCTTAGGAATGTACTGTATTGCTAAATTTGATATTTGTTCGTTTATTTTTTGCCTGTTAGTTATGTCGTTTTTGCGATGCTTAAAGCTATGTTGCAACCGGTGTTCCACTGTCTGGTTTTGATATTTGTGTTTACAATTGTACGGTATTGAATTCCTTAGTATTCATGTTTCGTAATTGTGTAGTATTGCTTACAGCAACTCTCTACTATTTCTCTGGGCAATATGATTGTATGTTTCCGATGTGCTTTCATACATGCAATCGATTGAAATCTACAGCTCACTTAATCATATATAGTCAGACTTAGCGAAGCACTGTGCGTGTTTGAAGTGTGTCACAAGACTGAAACAAACACAGCGTGTCGACAATTACACGAGATTGATGGCGCGTGGATCAAGCGGGGATGTTTTAAATCACCTTCTGAGTTAGCTACCGTCTGCGGAATACACATCGACTGACACGCATTTCCTTCAATCGACACGCATTTTTGCAGCCTTTTTTTGCGATCAATCCTGTTTTAAAAGTAATTGGAAGGTTCACAAGCTCACACACGCACTTGGCGCGCAGACCAGTGGCGATTATGACCCCTTCCCCGACTTCGCTCACACTGGTATGTAATATTTTGCGGATATTTATCGGTGGGTGTGTATTTTGCATCATAAAACTGTGTTGGATCGTTTTGTACGTTATGAAGACGTGTTGTTGCGTGTTCAGGTAAAATTAAATTCTATTGGAAATATGATCTGCACGGAAGCGGGTCGAGTGGGTATCCGACTATGAATCGAAGCTTGCGGATGCACACCAGATTCTGATGGTGCGCGCCTGCAAATTCGAGCATAAAAACCTTAAACACCGAGTTTTTCTATCTGTAATCATAATGCCCCCCCCCCCCACCCCCTCT